TCTTCTCCTTTTAACAGAAATGGAAATTTATCTGATATTGATTTTTGAATCCAAATAAGTAATTCTCTAGCTTGTTTCGGATCTTTTTCCATAGATAGAAATGGTCGAGGTTCATCTTTTTCATTTTTAGCATATCCAGTACAATACCAAGAATACTTAGACTTATACCAATCGGCGTTACTTGGACTATAATAATCAATATGAAGGTTTTTTACATCTGCTGGCCTCATACATAACATTATCATCATATCTATTAAATTTTGCATTGAAGGAATGTTTTTTATATTACATTCTTTTAACCGTTCTTGAACTTTTTCTAGGGAAAAGAAATCAGGACAATCAAATCCCTCGTCTTCACGGCGTTCTTGCGATTCCCTTTGCTTTTTATTTGATTCAACGGCAATCATATATATATATGTAGATTTTATTGTCAAATTACTAGCATCCAATTTGATCAATTCTTTCCTAAGTAATTTGAGACGTGAAGATTGAGCTATTTCGGTAGGAGCACTTATTGCGAAATTATATGCCAATTCGTTTATTTCTTCTGATTTAAGATTTTCTTCATTTTCCTTAATATATTTAGCGAGTTCTTTAGCGGAAACTCTTCCTACAACACGCCTTCCAGAAGCTTGCATGGGGATAAGAGTATTTGTTTGTTCTTTGTTAAATCCTAAACGCTGGATTCGATTTCGAGCATGGTTACGCGCTTTGGCGTCTTTCAAATCTTTAAGCAATTCTTCTGTGCAATTGCTAAGCTCGGTTATACTCATCTGAGGAGTTAGATTATATTGATTTACGAAATTTGTAGCAACTTTTGACATGGTAATTATAAGACGGTTGGATTATAACTATACTTGTTTATACTATGAAAATATTTTTTCAAATCAAAATTAATTACCCGCCCTTCATTCATAGATATCAGCCATGCAAGAAATATTTCTATGAAAAAAAAAGCTCCTTGTATGATTTGTAATAAATTTACATTATCTTATACGGAATATTGTGCAAAGCACTTCAAGAGGATTTATTCCAATAAGTGGTATGAAAAACAAATATTTTCCAATCTGAATTTTTATAATGTCTATTTAGAAGGACAAAAAATCCCCTCTGTGGATATATTATACTAAAATTTTAGCCGTACTAGCTTTGCTATTATTTGTTCCATCTAATACGTCATTATAAATTGGAGATTTTCTAAAATATATATATTGGATTTACCATAGGTATCCGTTTTCTTGAAGTATCGATATTTTATCTATCCATCCATCATCGTTATAACTTCTTGGTTGGGGATTGCCCTTATCCTCATGCAATCGGAGCATAATTTCCTCACTTATTAATCTTTCTCGTCTTTCCATTTCCATTAATGTATCTGGATCATCATCGGTATCTTTTGCGAATTGGATCATATCAGCATCGGACATCATTCTATCCCTGTATTCTCTAGATAAATTAATATCTTTTTCAGTAATAGTCATGAATACGTCTGGATCCTCGTCATGATCAATAGCCCATTGCCTAAGACGTTTTTCCCGCTGGTCCCGGGTTGGATAGTCGGAAGGTAATGCTACTGGTTTGGATATGGTTTCTTCACTATTAGATTCAGATTTATCGTTTTCAGGTAAGTTGGAAGATATTTCTGATTCATCGCTAACAGGTTCAGGAATGTCAATAATCTCTGAATTTTTAGATGTTGAAGGAACCGATTCTATTTTTTTCAGTATTTCTTTTTCCGGTTTGATTTCTTCTTTCTTCGTTTCAGGAACACTAAATACCGGAATTTCCATAGAACTTTTGGTAGGAAAGCTATCTTGTGAAATATCGGAAGTGGAAAGGCCATGAGTTTCCAACTCAAATTCCTCAATATTGCCAACAGATTCGCGTAAGTTGGCTACTATTTTGGAGCGGTCTAGGATATATACCCATTCTCTTTTTCCATTTATTCGTACTTGTTTTCGTTCAATCTTGATTTGTGAGAATTTTTTACCAAGAATATTACTACTAAATGGCTTTTCACCATTTCTTCCACACCAAGTAAGGTATTCCTGGTATAAATTAATACAACTTGGTTTATCAATTCTTTCTTCATTCCATAATGAAATATAGTCAATTATAAATCGAATGGAATTTGGTAGTTGATCACGTAATATTTCTGTTTTCATTCTACTGGTAGGGATATCTTGTGGATTCCAATCTGAAAGATCAAGACTAAGTAAATATGCCATAACTACACTTGGCGCGTCAGGATGCTCGAGTACTTTGGCTAAACTCTTAAAATATGCTGTGTTACCTTTACAACGGGAAGATACGTCGAAACACACGATACGCCGATCACCCATTTCTACTCGGAGTGGAGCATCATGATTACTTAATACCATAAATCCAGCATAATCTTTTATGACTTTTGGTTCAATACCTTTGCGTTCAACCGTTAAATAATCTTCTGTAATAAGTGATTTAAGATGATCATTATACTTATGCCAATCTCCACTAGACATACCTGTTTCATTCATAACGATTAGTTTACGAGCCTGAATGCAACTATTAAAACGCCCCAATATTTTTCCAAGATCGGATGTTGCATAGAAAAGCTCTGATCCGAGAACTTTCTTACCTATAAAATCAATTAAGATATTTTTTCCGCAACCCGGTAAGGAACGCAATACTTCAATTGTTCCAGGTTTTTTAGATGGATGTTGTACTAGATATGCGTACCAGTACCAGAAATATTTACTAAGCTCCTCATTCCCATCAGAAATTATATTTTTTGCATGCCATAGAATTGGATCCATAATAGCTGGATTAATCTCAATTGTTGGTTGGGCTTTGAATCCTAGAAAAAGGTTAAAGAACTTGGTATTTATTGGAGAAGTATTTGGGGGGTATGGTAGGAAATCGACATTACGATAAAGAATTAGACCTTTTGTAACTGCCCGATTTATCAATGTTTTTAATTCGATTGATTCCCCCTGATATTCCGATATTTTAATTTCATACTTCGCAAAATCCAGTTTAGGTGCCATATCGTAGTAAAAACCATTATCTGAATCTTCCATTTTAAGTATCCATAATCTTGAAGTTGTTTGGATGCATGCAATGGTTGCTTGAATTGCTTCATAAACTTGATTACGAGTATATATTTCTCCTGATGTGCACATATCAATTAAGTCGCCCCATACGAAGTGGTCATTTGGATCTGAGATTCTGGGTCGCTCTATTTTTTCCGGTATTGGAAGGGTTTTTTCTTGATTTTCAACTGTTTCATTAATTACAAGTTTTAATGATGGTTTTTTTATACCTGAAGGCGTTTCTTGGTCTGCACGATGGCAATAATAGCGATAAGTTTTTTTATTTCGAACCACATATGCATTATCACCGCTATGTTCTCGATTACATAGTGTACAATGAGAAGCTGATTTACGTCTTAAAGTAAAAATATTTGGATGTATGGGTCCTGGATATAAAACTTCAAAACCTTCGATATTCATTACATTGAGTAGTTTCTCTACATAATCGACTTCAGCTCCAATGGTCCCATTATCTGCTTTACTATTTTTCACTATTTCTTTTGGGATTTCTAAGATCGGGCTATCTATAACTGGTGCCTCATCATTAGGTGGACGGAGCATAAAATCAAAGACAGAACTATTTTTTGGATAAAATGCTTTTTTTACCCGTACATGTTCTTTTGTTGTTTCAATATATTTTGGGGTTCCGAGTATTCTCAAGGAGAATGAACGTTTATTTGCAATATTATCAACAATATTTTTTTCTTGTAAAGATATGGGGAGTTTTTTACGAACAAGCTCAGTAAATACTGCAACCTTGGCGATATTTTTAAGTCGGAGGCCAAAAGTTGATATGTGAAAAGACATTTTTTTCTGGTCACTACTACTGGCAATAGTTAATGTTTTACGATTCCAATCCGGGTATATTTCTAGGCATACTTCTTTAAAGGTGCAACAAAGTAAATCTCGTATCTCTTTACATGTAAGTTTGGGATCAATTTTATTAAATTTTTCCAGAGATAAATCAAAATCGATAAAGGGACGAAGTGGGTCATCGCCATCAATGATTTCGTGTAATGAATGTCCTTGCCGTTCACTAAGTATGGCTTCTATTCCATCCTCGGTATCTGTACC